ATAGTATATTAAGATAAGTAAGATAGTAGTAAATAGACTAATAAAGGGACTAATATATTAATTATATAGCTAATTTATCTAATAGCTTAATTTATAAGTACTGCTAATATAAAAAATACTAAGAAAATAAGAAAAAGGGTAATTATTATCTTATAAATAGCTTTATTTACAGCGCTGTTACGGCCTAGCTAAGGGGTAGTGTTAAAGGTGCCTAAGGCACCTACCTTATATATCAGCCGGACCTCCCGGCCCGAGACCTTAGTTAGCCACAGTCAATACACACACATCCCTCTCAACAGTATCTAGCCGGGGAAAGCTCGCTATAGGTGTATAGTGCGGAGAGCGCGCAAACCGCGGCAATCATGCCTCATACGTCTCCAAGTGAGGACGATCGTACACTAAGCCCGAACTCGAGTGAGATACTATGTACTCCGCATCTAACAGTTCAAGCATAGGTTTGCTCCGCCTTTCCTCGTGTTACTGGTGTTGCCTCTCCTCGTGGAATTGCTATTCTATTGGGTGCCTGGACACAAACTCGTAGGTTGCACTCGTACGTTTTGACCAGGACGCGGTTAATCTAATACATAGAGCATCAGGCGTATAGTAGCCGGCATATTATTATAATGATATCAAAAGGGCCCTGAACCTCTTCATAATGCTACGGCTACCACAAAACTGCATTATCATTGCAACCTATATATGTACTCTCCAAGGCCCAGCCACAGTTCTTCAACCCCCCGCCCCCCTTTCTATCTCCATCCCCTATACTCATTGCACTTCTTTATCAAGCCTATTCTCAAGATAGTTCGACTAAGTGCGTTCTGCCATATTATAACATGGAACTTACACCTTGAACTATGGTATTCTGCCTACTTCTTGGGCCGCAGTGGGCCTCGTAATTGCCCTTATAGTAAAGACCAAAAGTCAACTGCTCTCCCTCTTCAGTTCGAAGCGTATCATCCTTCCTCCTGAGTTAAAAAAAAACTCGAGCCGTATCAAGGCCTTCCCATCAAGGACGCTCCCAAATGACCTTACTTTTGGAAGCCCGGCGTCTGTCAAATGACAATAGGCCTGGCGAAGCTGGAACTCAACAAATGACAGATCTTCGACTCTAGATGGGAAACAGAGCACCGACAACAGCTGGAGTGGACGACTGGCGAGATGTGTGACGAAGTTCTCCAGGACCTTCCTGGTGCCGACGATTCTCGCGAAGAACTTCTGCAAGTTGTTGTGGCTTAGAACCCCCTGTGGGAGGGAAGGATACAGAAGTCGATGGCAAAGTAAACAACACCATATGTCGTTAATCTTGGAGTCGGCCTGCTGACATTCTGTACCGTAGATTCTTCCTCAACCTCAAAGCCAGCAGCCCGATCCAGCGCTACAATGGGTTCATCCAACCCAAATATGCTCTTTTCCAGCAAGAGATGCTCAACAACAAAACAGCCATAATCAATGACATTCTCATCCGCCCATGAATTCAATCTCTTCAACGTCTGCCACGGACAGGGGTCCTCGTCTTCGCTGTTCGAACTCACCTCAGTCCCGTCACATCTCCTAAAGATGATCCAGAGGCCGTGGGTATGCTGTGGGATGCCACTCGTAACTTCCCTGAAACGGCCAGTGCCTAAAAGGCCAAGCATCTGTGGAATCATGTTCTCGAACCTTTCTGCCTGGAGGTCCCAGGAAGAGAGGTCCCTGATTGATCCGTTGAGCAGGATGATGTTGAAGCACTACCACAACAGCCACTAAAACAGACATGCTCTGCTTGATTTAGCTAGGCATGATACTTGAGTATTTGAATCGAAAAAGTGCGCTCAAGGACGGTTCAGATATCTTGTTTATTTGTGTGGTCGTTGAAGATTTTGATATTGATCATTGTTGATATAAAAACAGTTCTTATATCAATATGAGATCCATGTTCTCTTCCCGCATAAATTCCCTCCACCTCCACCAGTCCTTTGGGGCTGTCACCGCTTCGCATCTTTCACATCGCTTGGATGTCAAATCAGGGTTGCATTGGCAAAGAGTTTGGTCGGTACCGTCTACTGTCCCTTCATCCTGCTTTTTCCACCATTTCTGTAAGAAGTCGACCACATCATGCGTGTGTCCAAGCCCACAGTACCGGCTGTATGCTTGCACCTTGTCCAACACCAGCTGACAGTCTGCTTCACGAACTATACTCACTCCACAAATGAAGAGCGGGAAAAGTGAGCAAGTCACGGCACTGTCCTCCTCTGAAATGTGTTCAATGAGTTTGAGAAGCTGTGTGAGACAATCCCAAGCTCTTCCTTGGTTAGGAGGGCTCGTTGGATAGACTGTGAAATGCAACATCAGTGAAGCGGCTAAGCGATAGCACTGCGCAACGAGACTTTGCTGACTGGTAGAATATTGAAGTGAGATGTCATGTAGTGCTTTCTCGATCGTTAAAGCTTCCATAAGCTGGTTCGGCTTCAGCGCGCGCATTGCCAACGGATTAGATGCAGTCGGCAAGTTAGTATTAACCTGCGACGTTGGCTGCACACTTGCTAGACCATCATCTGTGGTCGAACTGTGAGCTTCCGTTGATTGACGCAGGACAATTATTCGTTCGATGATTGCTAACAGTCCGTCGTTGACCCCAATCCACAGTGACCTTAGGAGTGGCTTGTTACTGAAGCACTTGGGGAGAACCTCTGCGGCACCAGAGACGCCAAATGCATCCATTATTTCTGGGCTTATAGAGATGCAGGGTCGTTCAGGAGATGTGACTGTTGCGAGAATGTCATGAAAGTAGAACCACTCCAGGAGTACCTGACTGGTATCACTGAGAGCACTAGACAATGCGTTGGGACGCCGAGTAAACTTGCGGCGTACGAGATCACGGTTGGCGTCGAGGTGAATTCTCCAGTTTGCCACGTCGCCGCCTTCGCAAGTGCTCCACTGACATAGAAGCATGGTTGCAGCGATGGCGTAGTCGATTTGTGATACCTCGGGCTCCTGCTCGACCTCGGCTGAATTATTCTGTTGAATCACCCAAAACAGGTTCCTAGCATGCCGTGACAGGGCATAACTATAGTGTTTCCATTTGGTCTTTTCTAGTTGACGAAGATCTTCTGCGTCGTCGACCGCCGTCTGTCGCGAAAGGGCCCTAGACAGATGACTCGCGGAGAGGCTGAGGATCAAACTCAACAAGCCCCAGTCTTGCTCGTCTTGCAAGGCCATAGGCAGGACGACGTTATTGATGGCGTTGAGGTCGGTGGAAGGCGTGGATATCAAGATTTTGGAGAAAGTTCCAATGAAGTAGTGAAGGAGTCGTCTCTCTAATGGAGTCTGAACCCCGGAAACTAGAGAGGGCAAGACAATGTTACCAAGTAAGTCGGGTGGGCTTGTCCGTTCGGAGTTGTAGATATCGAGCCGTCCATCGGAGGACTCCATCGGAGGCACGTACCCATCATCAGAGTCGCTCGTGGTAGCTTGAAACTGTAATGGCGATAAGTTGCTGACTGCTTCAACAGCAATGTCTGGACTACCGAAGGAGTTGGATGAGTCGTCTTGCACAGCTACTTCCGACTGCCTGTTCAGACATCGTCTCAAAGACATATTCTGCTGTATTGGGGCATCGGACTCAGTTCTGGCAAGTCCAGAGTAATCTTGTGACTCAACCGATGCTCCTTCGGTTGTCGAGTGGGTGGACTTCCTCATGCTGGTGCTGTCACGCCTTGCATCACTTCTTCTGTGTGTTTTGGAGGACCAAACCCTGGCCGGCTGATATCCCTCGCAGTCCAGACGATTCCGAGTGCAGTTCCAGCATGCTGGCTTTCCTTCATCGCATTTCTTATGGCGTCTGCGGCATGTAAGGCATCCGGTTTTAGTGCGAACAACGTCCTTGCGGGCCGTCGGCATATTTATAGGATGGCTGAACTAGATTACAGTGGCACTACGCGGCTCAATCCGATGGAGCAAGGTAGAAGCCGAATAAGGCTTCGATGAATGCAAAAGCACGTAAGGCCTCGGAAGAAGGGATAGGTAGTCTAGCTCGCGATAGATGATATGTCTGGAGGTTGAGATGCTGCATGGAGGGGGGAAGCGAGGAAGTCGAGAAGCGAGACCGGGGGCGACGCTAGGTACAGGGTAGGATGTCTTGCTGGGGACCTAATGGAAACCGTAGCTGATTTGGGTATGTGATAAGTGACGTAGGTACATAGGTAGGTAGGTAGCCAGCGGGAATCCAAGCAATCTCCAGCCTGCTTCACATGGTTCACTGCCCAATACAAGTTCATTCTGGCTGTTTAAGTGCCTTGAAATATTGACATAGTGATTTAATGGGATACAGATATAAAAGATAAGTGAGAAAACTGTACCTGATACCTATCTCTGTTCTCTGTCTCTCTTGTGGGGAACCCGTACCTTCCGTCCCCACGTGGAAGTGGGTCTCCATATCTCAACGGTTAACCTCCCCAAATCGACTCCGTGCCTAAGGTACCCTACCCATTACACGGAGACCATAACCCCGGAGCATGTGTCGTCGCCATCGCATCGCTTATATCTCCACGGCGTTGACTCATATATCAGTTTATCGTAGCCCTCGCAAGGGGTCAGTTCCACAAGATTATAATTATAGCTTATCATGAATCTGTTCAATCCCAAGCTTCGCGGAAAGCGCGCTTACTGCGTGACGTCCTGCGATGCCAGGTGACGCTTAATAAGCTTAAGCCTATGTTGTGCTAACTTTCCAAGGTTGGATGGATTGTTGATCGTCACTTAATGTCTGTCTGTTTGTCGAGTTCTCATCATGGCTAACAACACAGACCTCAAGATATTCTACACCGGAGCAACTGGTAAATAATTGGAGAGACTCTTGTTCATATGCATAACCTGTTGACATATCTCCTGACTAGGGTACCTCGGAGGCGATGCTTGGGCATTGTTGATTGAGAAGCATCCGGAGTGGGAGGCCCGGTCAACTCTGCTCGTTCGCAACGAGGAGCGTGGCAAAGTCGTCAAGGCAAAGTATCCAGGTGCTCGCCTGGTATTTGGTGACTTGAGCGACTCGACCCTTCTAGAAACCGAAGCAGCAAATGCCGACATCGTTGTTCATTGTGCGAATCGAGGACCCTCACTCGTCCCAGGCTCTGAGCAATGGATTAGCCAAGCGACGTCGTGATGGTTCCGCATACTGGGTCGCTCTCTCTGGAACCGATAACATCACTTGGAGGACCATCGAGGAGGGTTCTTACGGTACCTCTTACGACCATGTGTACGATGACATGGATCGTGTTTCTGAAGTCACTTCTTTGCCGGATCAAGCCCCGCATCGCGATGTCGAAAAGATCCAACAGCAATGCATCACCCAAAACCCTTCGGTCAATCTAGCCATTGTCTGCCCATCTTGCGTCTATGGTGTCGGTGAGGGATGCGGCAATCAACGCAGCATTCAGTTACCAGAGCTTGCCAAGTACACCATCGAAAACGGCTATGCCTTCAAAGTAGGCCAAGGGCTCTGCCGATGGCCCAACGTTCACGTACGAGATCATAGCAGAATAGTGCTATCCCTCATTGAAGATGCCATGCAAGGCGGAACTCATGCTACATGGGGGAAAGACGGCTACTATTTCGCGGAAAATGGCGAGCATGTGTGGGGAGACATCGCCCGATTGGTAGCTGAGGAGGCCAAGAAGCAAGGGCTTGTAGACAATGCAAACGTCAAGTCTTTCTCTGCCGAGGAGATTGACACTCAGCTCGACTTTGGGTCTGCCTTCTATGGAACAGACTCGAGATGCAAAGCTAAGCGGGATCGCCAAGTCCTTGGATGGAGGCCTCAGCAGGACAGTCTTGAGGCTGAGATCGCGAAAGCTGTTACAATTGAAGGAAGGAGTCTAGGGAAATAAGTCGAAATACAGTCATTTCAACAATGATAACCGATTTACGACTCTCTCTGCGCTCAGATGAACCAGGGGTCAAGCTGAGGCTCGCTTGTGATCACATTGTGGAGGCGATGCTGCATCCAACAGTCTACAGAACATAAACGCTCGGTTTCATAGCAGATCTGATCAAAAACGACAGCTAGGCTCAAGTCTGTTGATATGCTCGAGCGACTAGTGACGCTAAAGACAACCCGAGTTCACTCGTTTTGAGAGCATACAGATCACATACTTCACCGGACCAAGGGGTCTTCACATCATCACAGGAATCTATGTAGTTAAACCACGACAACTTCATTAAAAGGGGAGTCTCAATAACTTCTCAGCCACATTTGCAACTGGTAATAGTATATTCCACACGACAAACTCTTTTCTAAGGACCCCTCCCCTTTACTGTCAACTATCATGCCCCAGTAACCTCCTTCAATGCATTCACCAAGATGTCGGCATGCTTCTTCTCAAAGATCAGCATTGGACGCAATCTGATTGACCTATCACCGCTTGGACCAACAATAACACCGCGGCGCCTGAGAGCAGCAATTATATTGTTTCTCGCCTAAGCGCTCTCAAGGTCCCAAGCAATGATGGTTCCTGAGCCTCTGACATTGCCAAACTCTTTCGGCTTCGTGGCTGCCAGCCCGGCAAGCTTCTCTCTGATATATGTGCCGAACTCAGCGGCCTGCTGTACAAGATTGTGAGACTCGATCTCCTCGACGATACCTTTTGCAAGAACGGCTCGGCACGGGTCACCCAGCCAAGTGTTGAACAAACGGAGGGCCACTTCAGGCCTCAGCTCTGGGTTAGAGAAGTAGTAGCCAGCAGCCTGGAACTTCTTGGAGAAGGTAATAATATCCGGTGGCGACGGAAGATCCCAGTGTTCATGAGCCCAGAACTTTCCAGTAGATCCAACGCCAGTCTGGACCTCATCTACAATAAAGACCATGCCTCGGTTCTTAGTGATTTTCTGGAGGCTCTTAAAGAACTCTGGTGAGGCATGATTATCTCCACCCTCAGATTGGATAGGCTCGACAACAATGGCGGCCACAGGACAGTGCCACGAATCAATGAGACGCTTGAACTCGTCCAAGCAACGCTGCTCTTCCTTCTTATTATCTTCGAAGTGGTCCTCAAGAGGATACTTGAGCAGAGGGAATGGAGCTTGGGGCCATTTAAAGGTAGGAATGTCCAGCTTGTGAAGGGTCTTGGTCCTGGTCGTGGCCAAACTGGCAAACATGCGGCCGTGGAAACCCGACTTGAAGGACAAGATAGCCAGATCAGGTGAGCGAGGGGATTGGTTCAGCATACAGGTCCTCAGCTCCTCCTCCGTCCACACCTTGCGACGACGGTACCAGATGAAGGCGGCCTTGTAAGCGCTTTCATTTGCTTCGGTACCACTCATGGCCATCCAGACGTAGGGAGCTCCGCGGGGGGCCACCTTCAGGACGCCCTCCTCGAGAAGCTTAGCATAGTCTCCCCTGGGGAAGAAGCCAGTTGCGGGGCGGTTGATCATTGCACTGATAATTTCGGGGCCTTGGGCCGCCTTCTTGAGAACTGGGTTGTTGTATCCGACCGGGATACTAGCAATCTGGGAATAGGCGTCAAGGAAAGTGTTGCCGTCGACATCGACGAGGTAGTTTCCCTGAGACTTCTCGTAGTCGCACATGATGTTGACTGTTCGGGTGTCGAGATGAACGTCGAGCTCCTTCTGTAGCGCAACGCCCTTGGGTCCCGGGATCTCGGTCTTGACCTCGGGCGCGTTGGGCTCGGTGAGAGAGCTGATAAATGTGGCCACAGACCCCATGTTGATAGATTGTGTTTTGACAAGATGGTGAGACACGATCGGTAAGAACACAGAGTGATAGGTGGATAGGAAGGAAAGTCGAGAAATCAAGTCCCTGATCAACTTTATGAGCCTCGAGGGCTTTGAGATGGTAGAGCCCACCTACTAGGAGCCTCCACCGTGGTAGGAATCAAGTCCAACTACCAAAGTGCCTAACTTTGTGGTCGCGGTCACATGAACCATGAGCAGATACATAGACGCCCATGTCATGGTGCTCGATTTAGGTTGAACGGCGCTATGACACCTAGGTACTGTACCTAGTGTTGTGATGCTAAGACTGAGCAGTCTAGCAAGAAACATGAGGAGGCGGGGCGGGGAGGCGCGGCAAGATAGAGCACTCGGAGCGCGCAGAGAGCATGGCCCTTCGCGGGATCTCGGGTGGGCACGTCTTAGGTTGGCCTCGACAGTTACCTTATCAAGTCAAGCGAGGACGCTATCATGTCCAACCCCATCCTGAGAGGGGCAGGCCACTCGGTAGATCATCGCCTCTCAGAGAACGGCGCTGATACTGGTCCTGTCTCGGATACACCCCAAGGTGCACAAGCCGCATGTCCAAATCATCTCCGTTCGCCCACGCAATCTGACTGTTTCCAACAAGTTCACGTACTATGGAAGACTCCTAATTCATATCAAGAAAACAAGCTGATCCTATTAACATGTGGATGTATATGTGTATAACATACCATTTCTCGCAGGGCTAACATCTATAGTCTGCAGAGTCTATGAGCAATAAGGAATGGACTTGACAAATGTATCAGACCTAAGCGGATCAAATCTGTTTGGTCGAATTGATGCTCCTTTCAAGTCTGATACGAAGTCACTTTATGCTAGTGTAGAAGAAATGATTCAGGCAATTATCTTGTTCATTCAACTTTGGTAGTATTGGCAAGCGATTGCATTAAATCTTGCAGCAGATGGGACCTCGAACTAGCGATAGGGTCAGAAAAAAAAACAATAGAAAAATCTCCGAGTCTCACAAAAGAGTGTGACCAGCCGCCCGGCCCCTTAATCGCGTCATAAGGGGGCTAGACGCCACCGATGAGAACCTGAATGTCTCTTAGGGAGCGTAGCGGAATCCTGGGACACCCTCAGGAATAGTACCCTTCTCATCGGCCTCCTTGTTCTTCTTCTTGAAGTAGTAGCTCATGCCCGCGGTGAGAACAATGTAAAGAGCCTGGAACGCGATGGTGGTACCCATGCCTGGCAGGTATCGAGGAGCGTCCTGGACGCGGAAGATGGTGGAGCCAGTAATACCACCGATCGCACCGGCTGAAATCATGGCGGCAGAGATAATGCCTTTCTTAACTGGGTCGGCAGCGTTGTTCGCGCCGTAAGCCAGGGTGACTGGGACGTTGGCTTGGATACCTCAGACACCAAGGAAAACGCCAAAGTAGCGAACATAAGGGGCATGCACGAAGAGGATGATAAAAAGACCGGCGATGCCGATTGCTGCTTGCACGACCAGGAAGCTAGGAATTTGTCAACATTCGCTCGTCTTTTTGGTAAGTATGGAAAGGAGGCTTACATCCAGCGGATGCGAAGGCGATCAGAGACCCAACCGCTGAGGATGGACATGATGATACAGAACATCTGGGATCAGTCGATTAGCTGGAGCTCAGAATCAAGTTGAGAAAAGGGACAAGGAGGTACGTGACATACGTAAGGAGGGGAGAACAGGAGCTGAGCCTTGGTGTGACTAAAGCCAAGTGACTCGCGGAGGGTGAGTGGCAGAAAGTAGCCCAGAGAGTAGATGCTAGATGCGACAACATAGTATTGAAGACAGCTTAGAATTCAGCGTTAGCAACGGGCCGACAAGAAGTTCGCGGATGAACTTACTAAACTGCGATCTTCCAGTCCTTGAGGAGCTTGAGTTGCTTCTTCCAGTTCAAGTGTTCGTAATCCCTTCCGGCATTGTCATTTGCCACACGCCTGATTGCGATGTGTCGTTCACGCTCGGTGAGCCAAGTCGACTTCTCAGGGGCTGTACGAAGATATTAGTTTTGATGGCCGTGGTTGATGATGAGACACATTATGGAACAAAACTCACATTCTGCAAGCAGGAAAGGTCCAGCAACGCCGGCGGCAATAGTCATGGCTCCCTCGATGATGAGGATCCATTTCCAACCACTGCTGAACATGCCGTTTCCGACAGAGATACGAGACAAAGCATATGCGAACTGAACCAAATTAGCAGACGCATTATATGAGTTCGACAAGATTTGGAAAAAGAAAAGAAAAAACGGGGAAAGGGGAAAGGGGGGCACTTACAATGCCGTTGAAACCCGTGGTGACCAAGGATGCCATGTAGAAGATGGAGACTTTCTGTCCAGACTCATATGTTCTGTACCAGGCAGAGAGAATGTAGAGCGCTCCGGGAAAGACTGCAAACAAGGAGGTCAGCTACCGAATAGATCACTTTTAAACAAGTCGAGGAGAACGTACGACCAGCCTCAAAAGCACCGAGGAAAATTCGCAAGATAACAAGGGGAACCCAATGTTTGACGAAGCCCATGGCAAGAATGCAGACACCCCAGTAGAGAATCAGGGCTGTCAGCCACCATCTGGTTCCAATTCGACGAATAATCTGCGCACAGTGATTCATCAGCAAACCGAGTTCTCACGATCGTAGGCAGCATTTTGAACTCACCATGTTACTCGGAATCTCGCACATCATGTAGGGGATGAAGAAGGGCAGGAGGGCGATGGAGTAGCGAGATCCTACCGCCAAGTCGAGGTCTTCACTCATTCCAGCAATGTAGGCGACAGAGACATTGGTGCGGTCCAGCAGGGACAAGCCGAAGACGAAGGACAAGTAAGGGATGGTACGCCAGTCGATTTTGCGCTGAGTTTCCATTAGTTCTTTGTCTTGTGGTAGAAATTCGCGTTGGGTCTGTTCTTACACCAGCTTACGCTCTTCTTCAGGAGTCCAGTCCACGAGCACCTCAGGGGTCTTCTTGAGTTCGGGGTCATAAGCCTCGGACTCAAGGCGTGAAATACCTTGATCCACTTGATCTACCACCTTGTCGTCTGCCATCTTGAGCGGATTGAGCGTCGACTAGGTTATGGGGAACGAAAAATGGAGAAAGGACTTATCTCAGATTCCTACGTCTTTGTCTGCTAAAGAGGGAGAGGACTGAGGATCTGAAGACGAGATTGATATCTACTCGAGGGATGATCGACATTCAAATAAGTGCATGTAAGTGTTGGTATGGTTTCCCCCAACGGCTTGCATGAACAGAACAGACACGAGCAGGGCCAAAGGTCACTTCAAGCGTCCGGATAAGATGCCCAGAGGAGAGACTCCCCAGATATCTTGGCCTTATCATCGAAGGAACAGGGTGAGTGGGGTGACTAGATGATAGACGATATGTACTACATACCATATTAAGTATCCAGCCTGACGAGGCTAGCATGCCGACGGTTTCTTGGCTTTCAGAGGGCTCGATAAACGCCACGCACAAACGATCCCGAAATGGTAGCTTGATAGGTCACCCTCCCTTACAGAATGGCGCCTGTAATCTCGTGCTGACCACGATCTGATCCTGCAGGAAGATTGTGGACCTCATCAGCCTCATGGCAATCCGGGGAATGCGGGGAATGTGGAGAATCTAACGGACCCAATGTAGAGTTCAATTAGCGGCGGCCTGTAGCGTCTCGGCGTCAGCCACTATTGATATGCTTCTCCGTTGAGTTAGTTGAACGATTTACTCATCGATCACGTACAGGAGAGGCAGCAGCGTTTGAAAAAGGCCATCCCTGAGGCTTGGAGGGTCGAGGCTGATGCATCCATCACCAACCCGCACATTTACCTCGAGGCTGACAAGGTTGGCCAGATTCTTTCAAACGAGGAGCTGGCCATCACAAAATACGATGCTGTCGAGATCCTGTCACAGATTCACTCGGGCAGAGTGACCAGCGAGTTTGTCACCACGGCATTTTGCAAACGTGCGGCTGTGGCGTACGCTGTTACGAACCCCTTATGTGAGATTTTCTTTGATGAAGGCATCGCTAGGGCCAAGGAACTTGACAAGTACTTCGAAGAGACTGGCAAAGTGGTTGGACCCTTGCATGGTCTGCCGATTTACGTCAAGGTTCGATTTAGTCCTAGCAGTGGCCCCTCACGGTTTTATCACGACTGACGATTTGAGTTCAGGACCACATTGATGTTCAAGGCAAAGATACCAACATGGGTCTGACCGCTTGGTACGGCAATGTTGCAGAGCAGCATGCTGCTAGCGCCCAAATCCTTTATGATGCAGGAGCTGTTCTTTACTGCAAAACGTCAATGCCTCAAGCTGGAATGGTGAGTTCTCTTTACTACCTACTGTTTGATTTTCCATCTAGAACCCACTCTGATACCATGATCTTAGGCGAATGAGACTGTATCTCCCATTCACGGCACAACTAAATGTGCTTACAGCACCTTGCTGACCAGTGGCGGAAGCTCTGGCGGCGAGGGTTCCCTGATTGGCATGTTCGGAAGTCCTATGGGAGTAGGAACGGACATTGCCGGCAGTATTCGTTCACCGGATTCATACAACGGAATCTATGGATTCAAGCCCTCCGGAAGACGGCTGCCTCTTTTCGGAGAGTGGACAACAGATTCAGGCAATGTTGGTATCTTGGTACCCCTTGGACCAATCGCCCGCAGCCTCAGGGACTGTGAGCTCTTCATGCGTGTCATGCTCAACGCAGAGCCATGGGACGTTGATCCCGCTGTTCTGCGCATGCCTTGGAGGTTCAACGTAATTAAACCTATAATGACTTGTCCGTAATCGCAGGGCTCGTTGAGTTGTAGAGATTGTCTATATACTGAATGGCGTCTCTTGCCACCCCGCCATGGATGTGGCCAAGGGTATCCAATGCCTGGATGCACTGAAGAAAGTGCACTTCAGATACCGGAGCGGTGCTGGCCGCATTCTCCGTTTTCCTGACGAGGTGCGATGTCAGTGCTGATTGAAGGGCTGTGAGGATTTCAAGAGGGAGAAGATTGACCACTCTGCGGCTGTGAAGATAGGCGACTCTTTGCAAGATACGTCGGCAGCTTTTTTGTACTTGAACTGCTTCCACTGTCTGGTAATTCTGCATTGTAAGTGCCTCCGGCTCGTATAATAAGAGAATTGTCATCTCGAGGAAAATATACAAATAGTTTTGGTGTAGATTAAGTACTGAAGTGTCGAGGATGGTCCCATCTTGTTGTGGCGAGGGGATGAGTTCGGAGACGAGCCAATGTTCTCTGAGTTCGCAAAGCTTGAGATTAATCTCGAGTTGGGCAGCTGAAGAGCCCGAGTGATCCTGAGGGGCAAAGACTATGCTGCTTGTTACAGTCTTAAAGTCGCTAATGCTTGGGCACCTTTGGGTAGTGTAGCGCATGTTTAGAGCTTGCCCGGTCAGGTGGCTTAGGCGAGTTCTTTGTATGAAAATGCGAGCCATCTCTTCCTGCGCCTGGACGGTGAAGAGTTGGAAGTGTTGGTGCACAGGGCCCATGCTTTCGGGTACCTCTAGAGGTTTGATGCAGAAGTCTTGTTCGCTCAGGTCGGACATGCAGGACGGTCTCTTCTTGAGACGAGGTTGACCGTGCAGGAATGGTCAGGTTGGCAGGGTTGACGTACATTGCCAGCATGGTGGAGCTCCCGTACATGGCAAACCTTTGGGGGAGAACGGATTCCGATGCGAATAGTCGTCAAGCCGTGAGTCCGGTGAGTCTGGTCTGCTCGACTGGTAAAGTATGTAGTGCAATCTGGTTCCCCATCGCATGGTCAAGGCGCCTCGGCGATATTTTCAGGGAAAGCAGGGGATGATGCATCACGATGTTGACAAAGTCGCTTCAGCCTTCACGAGTCGTGACCCCTGCACCTCCACACCAAGGTCAAGTACCGCCGACACCACTATCACCCTTTGAGATGGTTCGGTAGCAAAAAGAGTGGTCGATCTACTTTCCGTTCTTGGTCTAGCTCCATGTCTCCCGTCCCGGCAGCCCGGGCCAGGGTCGGGGTCGGGGTCGGGGTGCATATGCCAGATCCCCGCCTTTCAAGGGACCCTGGACTATACTACATCATTTAGTTACGGAAACACTGCACGCGCGCACGTCGCGGACAGCGCGCTTACAGCGGTCGCACACAGATCGTGCCCACTAACAGCGCAGCGTTCGATCGACAGCGCTACCCCATTCGACCGACTTATACCCTTGGACGCAATTGTTCGGGCACCAACACTCCAAGCTTCAAAAGCCCCACGCCCCCAAATATTGCGCTTATACCAGACAACACTGGCCGTTCGTTCGTTCGTTCGTTCATTCATTCATTCATTGGAGTGCCAACACTTACTTTCCTGTGCTTCGTGTATTCAGTCCGATTCAAACTTCGTTCATCATCATACGCGCACTTCACTGAGTCTGCTCAACATACGTAGCCATGTTCAGGTTTCAGGACCTTCTCGATACAACCGCTCCTCACGCTTTTACTCTAGGGGCGGTCCTGGTTGTCGCTCTACTGGCGACTCTCGCAAGATCTTGGCTCGCCCAGCCTTCCAAAAGAGCCACAGGAGAGATTGCAACTCCTGCAAAGCCCTTTGTCAGACCAACAGCTGCGCCAACAGACTACACTGCTGATTCTTTGCCTGATCCAATCCTATACCGTCCCTTTCGCCATGGCCCCAATTTCATCACAATGGGCATCAGAAGGCTCGACTGGGACCGCTGGATCGAGATGGACAAGTACTACCCGCACTATCACGACATCAAAGCAGCTGAGCTCAAGAAGGATTTCGAGGGCCATGTCAAGTTCGTCGATACGCCCGAGTTGCGTCTTGCATGCTTTGAAGTGTACGATGAGGTCACGGGATATCTAACCGAAAGGTATCCCAACATCTTCTCAATTGCAGACGGTTTCCTTCGTAACGCTGTGACTGGCGAGAAGTTTGCGCACCCCCCGAGTATGTCCTTGGCTCTCTTTGCCCCTCTCCTCCAAGTTTCTTTCTTTTCTAGACAACAGGTTGCTAACAAAATCCCGGTAGCTGATCCCCATACGGCAATGGCAAATGCTGCTCTATGCGTTCAGGAAGATCTCATCATCATGGCAAAAGAAGACGGTAGGTTTTCCTTGGCTTGCTCTTGCGATATGCGGGGAGCTTTTCTTTTGATTTTGTTGCCAATATACGAGTTTCCAGACGGACAATATCATCTGGATGGCGCTGCTGTCTGTCTGCCTGGCTTTTGGCGGTTGCGGGAGAAGTATCGCATGTCCTTGGATACGCTACATATCGAGGCAGGCGTACCGCATTACCAGGAGAAGCTGCAGAAGTCTATGAATCGCTACTTTGATAAAATGGGCCCGGAAAACACCATTACACGAAACAACGTACGTTATCCATAGTTGCTTGGACTGATGAAGCCCCCGTGTACTTGACTAACTAGTTATCTCCGCCCCTTTGTAGTATTTCATTCAGCTAGATGACGGCCTTCACTGGTCTCATAGAATGGGCCCTCAGAACGGAAGCGACCCAGCCTGTAAGTCCAGTCCAATCCAATCCTTTCCTGCGGGTTCCTTGAGCATTGAGCTGACCAGCTTCGACAAGCCTGGGTCAAGGCCGATGATAACGGCATCACGATCGAGGACCTACACTTCCGATCTGAGCGCCAGACTCTGCGACGTCTTCCCAAATCAGGTGTCCTACTCTTCACTGTCCGCACTTACTTTGAGCCCATCTGCAAGATCGCCCAGGAGCCACACGTCCCAGGCAGATTAGCTGAGGCAATCCGAAGCTGGGATGACTCAGTATCACACTACAAGGGTAAATCTCACTGGGACAAGATCTTGCTGCCTTATCTTGATGAGCAGCACAAGAAACAGGAATCCAGCGGTCTTCTGACCGAGGTTCCTGAGGGAGAGTTCCCACTCTAGAGAAGATTTATTCCATACAAGCGGGCGGATTCTAAATAGGAGAGTGGACTGGGTTTTAGTGCGGAGTCTTCTTACGAACAGAACAGACTTGAGATGATTAGCTGGACTTTGTACCTTTATTTGACTTTATATCTTTATTAACAAAGCTGCTCCATTTCCCATGCTTCAAATCTTTATCTTTGACACGACGGAGCTTATCAGTAAATATTCACGGGCGTCCATATCACCAAGAGCATCACCAACGCTTGAGCCGCTATCTGTGACCTGACAGAGCTTGTCATTCATCGCTTACGAGCGTACAAGCCACAAGAGCACTATAATGCGCAAGCCCCGAAGCCTCTTTGGCCCCTCATGGCTGGAGTCACACGGCTTGCTTACTTCTGTTTCGAGGTGGCTCTTCCAAAAACGCATAAATATTTATTGCTCCGTCACAGAACACAATGAGCAACTATCACGACTCATGGACCCAATAGAATGGGAATTGGGACAATATACACATACAAAACAACAAAGTTAAACTCTAGTATACAGCTGCAAAGGCTCTCAAAAATTTGGACTTCAATCTCAAATCAAAACTTGATCCAAGGCCTAGTCCGTACGACTTGGCTCACCAAACTGCACTGTCCAGTGGATATGCTGTCGATTGAGATCTCAGGATGCACCGGGCCCGTGGAAGTCTGTGAAGAAAACAGAAACGTTAGCAGCTGTATGATGTGCTGTGCCATGTGCTATCTATGGGAATAGGGGACAGCGGGAACTTACTCTTGCGGCCATAAGTATAGTAGAGAATAAAACCCATACCGGCAAACCCTGCAAGGACGACGGATGCATAATTCATGGTCACTTTGTTGACTGGCAGCGAAGTTGGCATACTGAAGAGCACAAGCTCAAAAGAGATCCATAAGATAGCAACGACGTTTACCACGGGGCCCAGCCATGGACCTGCGTTCCACGGCGCAACTGAGACCTCGCGTCGTCCGTTGAAGAGACTCGTTGCAATAGGGATGATGTAGCCTAGGGCCAGGGCCACTACACCAACCGACACAAATGCTGTGAAAGCGCTTGAGCTTCCAAGATTGATCAGACCAAGCAGCATCTCCACAACAGTGACAAGAACCAAAGCAGCGAATGGTTGCCTGTGATACATGGAGGACCAGAGAGACCAGAATGGAACGGCTTTGTCGAGGGAGAAGGCAAAGGTGCAACGAGACGCTGTGACGGTGATGCTGATGGAGCAGAACAGCGTGACACCAAAGACGAAGGCCATGATGATGACAGCCCCCGCACGTGTACCCATGACAGTGTGAAGGATGTAAGGTAGGGCCTGACCGTAGGGCGCAGCGAGGATACCCTCAACAGGAGGCAGTGCGAAGCAGATGGGAAGGAGGAAGAACAATGATGCGACCCCTCCAATGGGGATGACAGGCATCAAAGCCTGGGGAACTTGTTTCTCTGAGTGACGGCATTCTTCCGCCATGGATGTGATCATGCCGATGGCCGAAAAAGTGTAAGCAGGGGGCAATAGCCCGATAAAGAAGCTGAAGCCCGTGGGATATCCAGAGAGCGATCCGTCATAGTGACCCAAAGCATAAGCAGCATCATGGCGTCCAGCTTTCGCTGTGACGGACAAGGCAATAGCAATAGCAATGACTGTGACCAAGGTAGTTGTTGCTGCAGCGGTGTCCACCATCGGCAAGAACCTGTCGGACAGGAAGCAGATGGCAAAGGTCAGAAGACAGATACAGTAGAAGATGAGGAGCAACTGCCACTCAGAAGCCGTCCAACCAGGAATGTAGATGGCGATTGTTCCAGCGATGAGCGAGGCGAAGCCGAAGTTGACTGAGAGTGCGATAGTCCAGTTTCCGATGAGCCAGATCCAGCCGTTCATGTACGAGTACATGACAGCCCTACAGCGGGAGTTCAAATTGGCCGACCCTCCGGAAGCAAGCTGGTACGTCCAATAATATGGACCGGCGGAAGTCGGGTATCTAGAGGCCAGTTCTGCCAAAGATAACGCGACGGCGCCGTCGAGGACCAAAACGACGAGCAACCCGACGAACAGAGAGAGCGGACCGCCACCGATGATGCCAAAAAGCAGAGGTCCGCCGAGGCCATATGGCACAGCAGCGATAGCCAGGGTCATGAAGAGGATAGTCGTGAAGGACCGCGTACGCTGGAAGGATGCCACATAACCAAGCTCATTGAGGCGCACATCCTCGATGCTCGCGCGGCGGGTGGGTAACGTTGCCAGAGGCTCGCCTGCCTTTTCATCCGTCTCCTTCATGGCGACAGAAGCCACTGACGGGTTGTCAAGCATTCTGTATAAGGTAGCTCGGCGTGTGAAGTCTTGTTGTGTGTTGGGTCGCTTGTCATCAAGAGGGGGTATATGTGATCGAAGAACAACCAATAGCAGGTAGGTGTACCACACAAACGAACAAGATAAACAGAAGTAAGGAATGATTGGAAAAAGAACAAGATGGGTTATCAATGGTGTTTCGAACCGGTATGTGCGTGGGCTATCTATGTAGACGCCGCTATGAACCGAGACAAGCGGACGACCAGCTCGGGTGTGTCGGTATGGACAGACGACGTATAAGTGACATGGCTCTCTTCGCGCTCGCGCACGTTTACAACCTGCCTACCTAAGGTAAACGTTTGGCAAGCGTGGTTCAACTCTAGTTAGTAGTTCGCGAGCATCAGATGAGTAGCCCACATGAGAGTTGGAGACCCCAGATTCCAGGTGGAGCCTAGGTACTGTACGTATGTACTAAGGTACTTATGTAGTACCACATCATCTTCCCCACAGTGTAGGGCACCGGGGGTGACGCTGCAGGGATACCCGGGATCGACAACCGGACCAACCCAATATGGCCTAAAGATTGGCCAAAGCCCTCCTTGTCGACCACTGGCACGTCTAGGGAATCTAGGGAATCTCTAATCTGTACAATGTCCACATCTGCCGATGCTACTACAGTTGAGTTAATCAAACGCGTGTAGCGCCTGTTCACGGAAGCGAGGCCAGCACCTGTTCTCGGAACCGAGGTCAGAGCCCGCCAGTTCTCGGCCGCTTTGGAGGCGCCAGCCCAATATGTAGTAGGTCCTGCACCGCTCCAGAGCATCCAGTAGACTCGGATATCTTAGCTCACCATGGATCTAACCTGTGCCTTTTGCTTTTAGTTGTAGGGAGGCCTTTTGGAGGAAGATAAGGGGGAGGGATATGTCAGAAGGAATACCAGGTTCCAGAGCGACCAGGGAGACTTGAGAGATTCACAATCAGCGTCGATGCTCAAGCTAAGAAATTTTATCACCCCATCCCTATCCAGAATAGTAAAGCATAATCACCCTCCTTGACCGACCATACCTCATAATGCAAGTATGACATTAACTCAAGGGCCTCCTCATAGTATAAGACCGAGGTTGACTGGAGAGTTCCTTAATGCCAGCGTAGTTCCCTAGAAACAACTCGATCATAGTAAGGTATCGTGTGATACACTTACCATACACAGTCTTGACGTCCGTATAGGCAGAAGGGCATATTTTGCCAAGCTTACAGCCAATACCGCTTTGTTCATAGTCACCAACAGGAATAGCAAGGCAGAATTTCTGTAACAAGCTGATCTGGTTTAGGGGAGAGGACCCAGGATATTACCCTGATCAAAGTCGGTAAGAATAGGTACTCGGCCAAGCCATGCCGGCTTGGATCCCTGCAGTTGCCTGGGCAGAAAAGACGAGTTGCAACGCTGGTAGGAAGATTTAAAGGAGTAGAAAAGTTGTGAAGTCTCGGTTCGTTCTTTAGCGGATGCGAAAACCGCATCGTCGAATATCATATCACAGCTCATCAAAGGGGGACAACGCACCCATGATGGCAACGTGAGGCCACTTCACATCTCGGTCAAGGTCAGCATCGTCAATCACCAAGAGAGACCTTTTGCCAACTGTCTCCGAGGTGATGTTATTCGAGACTAATCGCAGCAGAGCGCAAAAAGGCGATCTAGGTAGTCAACATTCATGCGTCCAATTTAGTAGGTAGAGAAGGTCCAGCCTTGGATCCGTGACCGTTGGCGGACATTGACCACGCTACAAGGGAAGCCCATCCTGACGGCCAGGGTTGCAAGGCAAAGAAAGTACGGACCAAGGTATCTGCTCAGCTGCCCTGAGCAGAAGCATATTACTGCAGGCGAGGGCTATCCCAGGGTTCCAAGATGCCATTCAGGACATGTGTGGATTAGAATGTTCGATACTACTGGGAATGGGGGAGAAGTGCTTGTCAGGCGCAGAGAGATAGCATACTATCATGGCAAGGTACGTTCAAGGAATTCAGGTTCCGCAAGCCCGTTTGTGCGTGGCAATGCAAAGGAACGTTATCAGCCCAGCCAGCGGTAATAACGCAGTACACCCAACAACCTCAGCGATATCCTCTTCCAAGGCAAAGGACGGGAGCATGGCCTTGTTTCTGTTACCGTGAATGCTTAGTAACTCTCTCGGAGGAGATGGATACCTAGTAGACGCTTCTCGGCAGTAGTCTACAACTTACAAGACATGGTGGATCGGGACCGGGTGGGTTGACAGTTCTCCATGCTAGGACCTTGATACGCCACATTCGTTGTTCGGGACCGCGCAATGCGCGCTTTCCGCGGCTTATCTTGACCCCACCATGAGATGGACCCTGGAGAGCTTCATGTAAAAATACTGACCGCTATAGACTGGCCAATGTCGCCGGCACCCAGGAGCCTATCTACAGCCCCTCTGCCATCAAGTCTGTCGCTACAGAGGCCGAGAAGACTCCCTACACTAAGATCTCTCGAAATGACCTGAAGTGGCAGGCCATGGACTCTACATCATGTTACTCAAAGCAGCTAGCTCAAAGTCGCCAATCTTCTCCAACAAGCTAAGAGGGCCGAAAAGAGGAGCGGGGTCTAGGCGGGAGGGCCCGCAACCAGGCTAGCCAGGCTTGGTTAGACAGCAACGCCCAGTTTCCGTATCCCTTTGGTCTTCATAAGACAGCCTTTTCGTATTTTTGTGGGATCTGGCCCAGTATTGCCTAAGGTAGCTACTAATCAGTTCGCAACATATACCAATCTTAAGGTGACTGTTCTGTGAGGCTAAAAGTATCGATCCATAGGGTGTATTATTAGAGATACGTATATCTAGGTTTAATTCACGGCTACCTACCTAGAAAGAGGTATCTTTGATGCTGGCTATCTGATTGGTTGTATTCCTGTCGGTACAAAAAGCTGTTTCGTGAAGACTAGAGGGATGATAGGGGGGAGAGCTGAATGGTATAGCCGGTACGGAGTAGGTAGGTAACGGCCAGGGGGTACAAAGGCGAGCTTTCCCTTTGTTTTGGTTCATTCAGTATAAGGTAGTCAAGCTGGCGCATCGTTGGCGAGGTTGAGCAATTAGTTCTCCTTGGAAAGCTATTACATATGGCCGTTCTACTTCAAGCGAGTAACGAGATCAGCAAAGTTTCAATCACGAAGTCTGTTATTCAAAAACTTCATTGGTTAGTGAAGTTTATCTATCTCTCGTTGTGCCAAGTCCCAAAGTTTAGATACCTATCTAGGCTCGGCTCCCGTGGCTTCAAGTTGGATCATCATCTGCTATCGGAGTACTGCTGTAGGGATGGATGCTTCGATATCGAATAATGCTCTAAGCTCAATGGAGAAAGTCTGTCGGCCAAAACCATACATGGCTATCACAAAACCCTGATATGGACCGCTGGTCTTTCCATAAGGTATGCACTTGTGCCTACTAAGCTAGCTAGCTTCCTCAACAGCCTCTACGGAGTGGCCGATGGTGGCAATCCCAACGGTGTCTCAACCGTGTTATCGTATGACCTTAGAGCTTTCTCCCAGCTATCTGTTCCCTCTGTTGTTGTAGTGTGTGGGAACAAACAAACGAAGACGCAGGCCCCGGCATTACCCCACAGATCTACTGTGTGCATGTTGGTACCATTTGTGAATGAACTACCCCACGAAAGGCTCGGTCCCTCGCTATTTGATCGGAACGCTGTAGATAATATTTAAGAGAGGTGAAAACCCCATTCCCCCTCCCCAATGTCCCTCCTCTCCTCCTCCTATTATACACGAGCCTATGTCTTCTTCATACCTTAGGGATTCCTTGTCTGTTTCACTCTTCACTGCTTATACAAGCTTATTCTTGTACTCGTCAACGACAATGGCGGAGATTCAGAAACACAATGAAAAAGACCAGCCTCGTAGCGAGGCTGGTTCGATAAAGGCGACTTACGTCGAGGAAGATGTGGGGGCGAACAGTGAACTTCATCGCTCGCTCACATCTCGCCATCTTACCATGATTGGTATTGGATCTTCCATCGGAATGGGCCTTTGGCTTGGCAGTGGAAAGGTCTTGGCTACCGGAGGTCCTGTGGCTCTTTTCCTCGGATGTAAGTCATTTTCTCTCCGTCAATGCACACAGTATGAAAAGAAGACTACAGAAATATTTGCAACTATGTAGTCTGCGTCGCCAGTTCCATCGTCTGGGCTGTCACCCAGTCCATCGGTGAAATGGCCGTCATGTACCCCTTGCCATCCTCCTTCGTCCGGTGGACCAACAAGTTCGTCCACCCAGCCGCTGGATTTGCTCTCGGTTGGTGCTATTGGTTCAACTACTGGATCACAGTATCCAACGAGCTGCAGGGCGTTGTCACTGTTCTGAGCTACTGGACGACTGCCGTGCCCAAGGCCGCACTTATCTCTATTTTCTAGTTTCTTGTCATCCTGACGAATGTTTGGGGCGTCCGTGTTTTCGGCGAGGTTGAAGTGGTTATGTCCCGTATCAAGTTCGGCTGGATCTTCGTCGTTGTCATTGCATCGATCGTCATTTCAGCCGGAGGTGCTCCTAACGATGAAGCGGTTGGGTTCCGCTACTGGAACGAAACACCTTTCATCAACGGCTTCGTTGGCTTCCTCAATGTTTTGCCTGTCTGCGTCTTTGCACTATCCGGCTCCGAGACCACAGGCATGGTAGCTGCTGAGACAAGCAGCCCCAGGAAGTATGTGCCTCGTGCCGTCAATGCTATTTGGTACCGACTTGTCATGTTCTACCTCCTGGGATCCCTGATGGTTACTATCACCGTCAGCCCCACGAACCCAGCGCTTTTCGGCTCAGCTCACAGCGCAGCTACACAGGCATCGCCTTTTGTCATTGCATTTTCGGGAGCCAAGCTGAAGCCTCTCGCTCATATGATGAACGCAATTATCTTGCTTTCGGTGTTTTTGTCCGCGAGTATCAATATCTTCGGAGGCGCTCGTACGCTGTACGGACTGGGTCAAATTGGCATGGCACCCAAGGTATGCTTGATAGTATGAGCTCAACACATTGCGACTCCGATTACTGACTTTGGTTTCTTTCTAGGTCATGACCAAAGCTGACAGCTGGGGCAGACCCCGGTACGGGCTCATCCCAACCATGCTTCTCGGCGGGGCTCTGTCTTACCTGAATGTGAGCAATACAGGAGCTCAGGTCTTTGGATAGCTTTCCAGTCTCGTTGCGCTCCTCACTATGTTCGGTTGGGGTATGATCTGCTTCTCTCATATCCGTATGCGCTATGCTTGGAAGGTCCAAGGTCGTTCTCCTGCAGATTTGCCATGGCGGAGCGTTGCATGGCCATGGTCAGCATACTGGGGACTTGGCTGGTGCATTTTCATGATCTGCGTCCAGTTCTATCTGGCTCTTTGGCCAATTGGAGGAGGTCCAACTGCCATTGGGCCTTTCTCCAGCTACTCTTCCGTGGTCGCCATCATCGTCATTTTTCTCGGAGCCAAGATCTATTACCGAGGCCCAAGGTTACTGGACGCATCCAAGATCGATCTGGACAGCGATCGTCGCTGGTACTCAACGGAAGAGGAACAAGTGCAGGAGGAGAAGAGCACCATCAGGAAACTTTGGGCACGAATATAATTTAACCTTCTATGACCTCTCGCTGGAGGTCTGATGCACCCCATTGAGGGATGACGGGTGCAAAGGCTCTTGAGCTAGACGGTCTGGATTAAGAGAGTAGCAGAATTTTAACGCCTTTATGCAACAAGATTATCTGTAGTACTGATGAGCGGTGGCTGTATAAGTTCTCGTACTCCCGATTGTCTCAAGGCCTATTCTTATGAATGAGAAACCAGAGCAAAGAAAACTGGAAACAAGCGTAGGTTCATGAGAGTTATTGCTTTTGCCTGCATCTTTTGCATCATATTTGCCTCACACCTACACAGACCCGCGGTAGAATCTGGTATCTACAAGTAGAAAAGGGAGCGGCGTTTGGCCCAGCATACAGTCAGTTTGAAAGATATCTCCTCGGTGTATAGCAAGGTACTTGTTGATGGTAGTAGTGGAAGGCCATCCAGGTAAGGTACTCAGCTCAGAATAAGCCAATCTTCAGCCAGAATCAGATCAGTTTTGGCGCTAAAAGTGTCTCCACAGCCCCGTTCCAAATATCGGCAGACAGTGCTCCATAAGGTACAAGGATACATACCCAAGTCACCAATGGCACAAGCGCGCCTTTTCCCCAGCCAAAACTACCCCAAACTCCAACTTAACAACCGAGTGGCTTGAATCTACTCCGTATCCTGCGGGAAGTCGATCGAATTTGCCGACCAAATGAATGAACTCCAACTTTTATTAATGACCTAGAGCCGTCAGTCACATGCGCAGGCGGGGCCGAATGTGCGCGAATGCCTTCTTCCAACCATTGCAGCATCCATCCACGCATTCTACTGCCAAGCAGGCTTTCAATCGCGAACTTGACAGCGTCATGTCTGAAAGTCTCATGATAAAAAAGACGGCTTGCTCCAATTGCCATAAGCGAAAGGTAAGCAAGCTTCTTTTTCCTTTGTGATGCGGCTCATTGGACCAGGGCATTACGAGAGCTGCCTCAAGGAGCCATTAAGTAGCTAATCATATGCCCTCGGGCTCTCCGATAATGTAGGTTCGATGCGACTTTATCACTGAAAGTTCAAAATGTATCAATTGTGATATATTTGCCCTCGATTGCAGGTCAGTGCTTACGCCCCTCGGATTCGCGGTTTATCGGGTTGTCGCACAAGCACTCACAAGCGAGTTACGAGCTACGGGCTGACTCGCAAGTTTCGTCAACAGTCCGCATTCGAGAAAGAGGAAACACTCCTCTGTAGTACGGCCAGCAACATATAATAACAACTCGGCAAAGTCAACATTCAGCCTAGGTGCTGCAAAAGCTCCCCGCGATGAAGCACAGCCAGAAAATTCGGCTCTGGTCACTCCAGAGCAATCCGAGCTGTCTGAGATACGCAGCGAAGGCAATTCTGCTGACCAGGAGCCAGGGCTTCACCAGGCTGTGCCGTATGTAGGCAGGACGGATATACTAGGTCCTGTCCCGTTCCGCGAGAGCTTGGAGTCCGGTAGAGCAATTTTGTCTGCCGAAGATAGCGACAGCAAGTTTTCAACGCAGACACTACAGTATCCGAACCGGTAGCGCTGCGTCTGGTGAAACTCTTCAAGTCCTTCTGCTGGCCCTGGGCCCCCATCGTTGAGGAATCCTGGTTGCTGCCGAAACGGAGATCATCGATGCCACTCTTGTTGCTACAGTCAGTGCTCCTAGCTGGTAGTCGTGTCTCCTCCATTGGAACAATCGGTCAGTCCGTGGACTTGTATCAAAAGGCCAAGGCCCGGTTCTTCTATGGTGATAACCGCATGCCGCTTGCTTCCGTCATATCCGCATTGCTGCTACAGTGGTGGTCACCTACTGGACCTGAACAGTTCTCGCTTGGCAACAGTGGCTTCTGGATGCATATTGCCGTCGGACTAGCACACCAGCTCGGCCTACACAGAGAACCCTCTGAAGGACCACATCGTGGACTGCGACGACGTATCTGGTGGACCATAGTGGTACGTTACACTCAAGCAGTACCCATTCACCTTCTTTTGGCCGCTACACGACCATCCTTCTTCCTTGTTCTCTCATTGAACTCCGCCTGTTTTGACACTTGCTGACGGACCCAGACCCGAGACATATTGATATCAATTGGCGTAGGCAGACCACGAATGATCAATCTCGAGGATAGCAACGTCTCTCCGCCCACAGCTGCCGATTTTCAGGAGGAAAGCGAAGGAGCAGACGTCTTCATAGCAAATGTTAAGATTTGCTGCATCATGGGTGACTTGGCAGAACGTCGAAGAAGGTCTCGATTCACACCCCAGTATCAACAGGCCACACAAGAAGCTCTTCGCCAATGGCTTCATGGCTTGCCTCCCAGGTTGAGGCTTTTTACCTTGGATTCCGGGGCAAAAATACCTAATCCATATAATCTTGAGTCCCGACAGATCCATGTCGTTTTCTTCGTCACCCTTATCATCCTCACGAATGCTGATAATCCTCTTGCGGCCTCGGTCACATCACTGATTGCCTCTTCATTTATTGCATCTATGTTTGCGGAGATGCAAGAAGCTGGTGATCTACAACGCCTGGGTCCCATCTTCGCGTTCCATAGCCTTGCGGCGGCACTGCCCCTACTGTCGGCCCAAAGGCTTCGTTCGATGTCCAGCTCGGCGGCAGCCGACTTTGACAAGATATACAGCGCTCTTCAAGAGCTGGCTGAAAAATGGGGTTCAGCTCGAGGACTTCTCGAACCCCTAATGGCAGCGAAGCAAAGGACGCGCGTTACGGCCGACTCTAGTGATCTGCTTGGATCTGTCTCGCCACCTTTACGGGACTTGTTTTCGGAATTCGGTAGCAGCACGTGCTCGCTATGGTGGCTGTTGCAATGGGACGCGAACCATTTGCGCGAATTCGATACGAATGCCGATGAAGTGAGGGCAGGCGACTATTTTCGATCGCTGCAAAGTACAGGAGAAGAAGAAGCCAGGACATCGGCCAGTAGACAACAAGACTTTTCGATGCCGGTTGACACTACCTGGCCTGCAATGTCTGAAGCCGAGGATATGCATCACTTGCGAGCACCATGGGAGTTGGTTCCTCCCCAAACCTCGTGGTCAGATGATGACTGGATGTTGTAACTCGCAAATACGTAGATAGTCAATTTTCCCCTGACCCCCAATTTCGTTCGAGGCGCAAGTCGAGAACTGAGGAGCGGTTAAGGAGGCGGCCAAGAGTGCACTGTGGTGTGGAGCCGCCCTCCGTGGGACCGCCGAGGAGTGGAGACCGAACGCCGCCTCCGGTTCATTTCGCCTCGGCGATCGTATCGTCTTCCTCCTTGCTCCTCGGCGTTTTTTACGAAGTAATGAAGCGAGATCGCCGGAGCAGGCCGTAATTTCTCTTTTTGAGACCGCCTTACAAGATGCATAACCTGAAGGACTTATTATTTTTTCTTCTCTTATCATCATCATCCTCGTCTCTTGTGCAAAGCGCGAACAGTGCTCATCCAGTCACAACATAGTCGCTACACCACCACACCACCAACAACACAAGCTGTCACATTCATTCAATTGATAATCAGTCGCCATGTCGTTGTTCAGCTGCCAAAGGAGACTTGTCGCCAAGGCCGCCATGAAGCCATCAGCATCGCTTTTCCGATGTGCTTCCACGCGTGCTCCGTTTCAATGGCAGGACCCATTGAACATGCAGGAGGTCCTGACCGACGAGGAGCGGTCGATTCAAGAGACAACCCGTAGCTATTACCAGGACAGGCTTCAGCCAAGGATTCTCGATGCTTATCGCTCGGAGAACTACGACCGCAAGATTCTTGAGGAGATGGGAGAGCTGGGTCTTCTAGGTCCTACTATCGACGGCTACGGGTGCGCAGGTGTCAGTAGCGTCACAGCTGGCCTCATCACCCGTGAGGTAGAGAAGGTCGACTCAGGCTATCGATCTGGTATGTCAGTTCAGAGCTCTCTCGTGATGGGACCGATCGAAGAACATGGATCTCAAGAGCAAAAGGATCGCTGGCTTGAGAAGCTGGGACGCGGCAAGCTTGTCGGCTGCTTCGGTCTTACTGAGCCTAACCATGGTTCCGATCCTGGCTCTCTGGAGACCACTGCCGTTCCCCATCCCACCAAGAAGGACGCATACATCCTCAACGGCGCCAAGACTTGGATTACAAACTCCCCCATCGCAGACATCCTCCTAGTTTGGGCCAAGCTCGATGGTGTCATCCGCGGTTTCGTCATTGAGCGCGACCAGTGCGCTCCTGGAACCCTAGAGACGCCTGCCATTAAGGATAAGAACGGTCTTCGTGCTTCCATCACTGGTATGATCCAGATGGGCGGTTGCATAGTTCCTGCTGCCAATATACTTCCCAATGTTACCGGTCTTAAGGGCCCCTTCAGCTGCCTTAACTCAGCTCGCTACGGAATCGCATGGGGAACTATTGGTGCCCTTGAAGACTGTCTTGACCGCGCAAGGACCTATGCTCTCGAACGCAAGCAGTTCAACAAGCCCCTGGCCCAGTTCCAGCTCATTCAGAAGAAGCTTGCCGACGCCTCGACAGACGCTGCTTTCGGTCTCCAGGCCGCCCTGTAAGTTGGCCGCCTGAAGGACAAGGGTCTTGCGGCCCCCGAGATGATTTCAATGATCAAGAGGCAGAACTGTGATCGTGCTCTGTCCGGTGCTCGCACTCTACAGGAGGTCTTTGGTGGCAACGCTGCAAGTGATGAGTACCACGTTGGACGTCACGTTGCCAACCTTTTTGTTACACAGACGTATGAGGGACAGAGCGATGTTCACGCGCTGATCCTCGGGCGTTCAATTACTGGCCTGCAGGCCTTCTTTTGATCAGGGCACTCACTTGGTACTCCTCTATAAAAGTCAATAGTCAGTTATATATCCACCTTGATACTTGGAAAGCACAATCGAATCTTCGCTTTTGGTGTCACTATGAGATCTACTATAGTAGCATTCCTGTTTCCTAGAGTCCCTACTCCTCCCTGCCTTTGGGGGCAGACTACACTTGTGAAGTGTAGAAGGCCACTCCCAGCACTCATGCCCATCTGCTGGTGTAGCTGACGGTTCGAAAGCAATTCGAAGATCAAGCCGCGGTGCTTATTCTCAAGGACGGACGAAATAGATCAGCAGCTTTCTACACAGCCTCAGAGAAGTCGCTGGTCGAATGCATGTATCGTCCATCTTGATGCTTAGAAACTTGATGGGGCTATCAGTTCTTGTCACCACAGTTGTATTTATTAACGATAGCAATTCCCAACCCTTCGCGTCCCACTCCACCTTTGCTCCGGGCAGACTAAGCAAAAGCAATTCTTCAAGATCATGCAGTATTGATTTTGATACTAAATAACTAAGACTTGTGTATCTGACATTCTCGAGTCAGGTCCGAGACAGGGCAGCAGCTTTCTGCACAGCTTCGGAAAAGTCACTGATCGAATGGATAGGAAGGCCACTTCCCTCGAGCTAGTTGAGGAGAGTTAGCATCTTGTCTATTATTCTCCATTTGTGTGTGCGTGCCGATGAGCAGATGGCATTCAAGCTTGCTCCGCCATGGCGAACCTTGGTAGGCACCTAGTGAAGAGAAGGTCTTGGGAGTATCTTGTGATTGGAATTGACTTACAATTTTGCGACACTCAGTGGACCCCGTACCTTCGAGCCTGACTACTAGAGGAATCTTGGACTTGCTGATCTCCTTGAGCGCATCGATAAGTGCCTCCGCAACGACGGGTCCGCGGATAATGCCTTGTGATGCCTTTTAGTAAAGGTTCAAGCCAAGCAATTCAGTCAAGTAAACAAACACTCACCGCCAGAAATGTTGATGAAGAGAACCTTTACGCGCTCGTCGCTCAGTACCAGCCGAAGCGCGTTGACCATGGTATCCTTGGTAGCCTTGCCTCCCGCATCAAGGAAGTTAGCACAGGTTCCGCCGTAGTAGGCGATGGCGTCCATTGTATCCATGGCAAGGCCCGCGCCGTTGGCAATGTTCCCAATCATTCCATCAAGAGACACGTACGCAAAGCCGTGGCTTGCAGCGAGAGCCTGTCGCGGGTCCTTGTCCTCCCCCTCTCCCTCTCCCTCACCCCTAAACTTGGCGAGCTCTGGCTGTCGAAAGCACGCAGCATCGTCGAAGGAGAATTTGGAGTCTAGGCAAATAAGATCTCCTTCCTTAGTGATGACCACGGGGTTGATCTCCAGCAAGGTTGCATCCTTGGCTCTGAAAATAGTGTACAGGCGGGAGACCATCGTGTGCAACTGCTTGATAGAGTGCTCGCTGGTAAGGCCGAGCACCTTTGCGATAGCATTCGCATCCTTCCGCGTAATATCCTTGTCGTAGGAGAGATGCAGCTTGATAATGCTATCGGGGTCCTTCTCGGCGGCCTCTTCGACATTCATTCCCCCGCTTCTCGATACGACGATTGCCGGCTTGCTTTTGGTTCTGTCTACCGCAAAGGATAAGTAGAACTCCTTTTCGTACTTCACTTGCTCTGTGACGTAGACTTTGTTGACGACAAGACCTCGTTCTGAGGTCTGCTTGGTGCGGAGGCGGTGGCCGAGCATGCGATCAGCGAGCTCCTGGGCATTGAGGGAACTAACTAATGGTCAGCACTTAGATACACTCTCGTGGTACACTTTGAAGATTTGGATCTGGCCTACGAGTTCACTTTGTGTACCCCGCCCTCGAGGCCGTTATCGAACGTGCCTTTGCCACGACCCCCGGCTAAGATCTGGGCCTTCAAGACTCCCGAACCACCTAGAAAGACAGCAATTTAGTACAGAGAGATCCCTACCACTCACTCTTGTGGTGTATTGGATTGCGATTCATCATTCACCTAAGTAGTCTATCGCCTTATGACCTGTTGCGGTGTTGTGGCAACTCGACCACGGGGCACGTTGACTCCATTCTGGTGTTTGTTGGTTAGAATCGCCGCCGTAATTATCTTGTCAGATAGACATACGTACCTCGGAGAGGATCGACTGAGCGGCATGTTCTTGTATACTGAAGGCCCTTGCGCCATGGGGCTTGCTTGGCCTCGTTGCTGCTCTGATGCCGCTTGGAGCACCTCTTGTATAAATCTTGGACAGCATCTTGCGTAGGTATGGAATTTCTCAAAGGTAAACACGGGCTTGTGAGAATCAAGTCAAGCCTGAAAGGAGGAACTTGTTTCTTTTCTCTAGGCAGTCTAGCATCAGACAACCTACTAATCATTACATTTTGTTTGAATTATATAGGCTATCAACTTAGGTAGGTACTAGACGCGACACCTAATGGTCGCCCAGAGCAAGCCCTCCGAGGCAGTCGGTGGTAGGTTCGGGATCTGGGGTCCGGGGTCAAGTACACGGCGAGTGCTCCCGCGGCGCCTCGGCGATACCTTATTTCTAGACAAGTCAAGCTAGAACCTCCTCTAAGGTATTCTCCTTGCGTGTAAGTCAGTAACGAGACTGCTGCTAGGTGATAAAACATACCTTACGTACGGACTGCCAACGTTAGAATAAAGGCCTGATCCATTGGAGAATTTGGCGGTACCGAGATCGATCTGTCTACCTATTATACTGTACTAACTGTACATGATTTATCTTGCAAAGATGCAGATGCTTCCAAAAGTGCACCGAGCTTTTGCTGATTTTCAATGCCGAGCGTCAGCTTCACGGTATCCGCCTGCACCAACAAGAGGATTCCATAGCTTAAAGGGCAACGTCCAGAATCTCATGGTCAACGAGACTACGCGTGTCATCTACCAAGGTTTTACAGGGAAAACTGTAGGTGAAACTCTTCTCTTCCTATCTTAGGTACCCTCCTTGTTGAACAACTCTGACCTTACCTACTAGACTAAGGCAATCAACAATGCAAGAGATGCCATCGCACATGGAATAAACATTGTAGGCGGAGTGTCGCCCTAGAAAGGGGGCACGACTAATCTAGATCTTCCTGTGTTCGCCACCATTCGTGAGGTAAGGGATTTGGTCCTTCACTGCGAGCAACAACGGTCATGGACTGACTGGCTGACTGGCTGACCTTTATCTTCTTTGTGGCAATCTAGGCAGCCCAAGCGGTTCGCCCTAATGCGAGTCTGGTTCACGTCCCTGCCTCGTTCGCTTCAGGGGCGGTAGAGGAGGCCATTGAAGCCGAGATCCCTCTCATTGTCGCCATTGCCGAACACATTCCTGTGCATGATATGCTCCGAGTCCACGAGATATTGAGAACGCAGAGCAAATCGCGACTCGTAGGCCCAAACACGCCAGGAATTCTGGCTCCTGGCAAATGCCGCATTGGTATTATTCCCGCAGACCAATGTGCTCCTGGTCGGGTTGGCATTATCTCACGAAGCGGCACCATGATCTACGAAGCAATTGGCGCAACCTTGAGAGCCGGGCAAGGTCAAAGCCTTGTCGTTGGTCTGGGAGGTGACTCCATGCCGGGTACCACGATGAAAGAAGCTCTCGAGGTGCTGCTACACGACTCGGCCACAGAGGCGATCATCCTTATTGGGGAAATCGGAGGTTCGGCTGAGGTTGAAGCAGCTGAGCTGCTCAAGCCCGTCATCAGCATCATTTCAGGACGAACGGCTCCGCCTGGGCGCGCCATGGGTCACGCGGGGGCTCTGCTGGCTGCTGGGGAGCTTGGAGCAGATGCAAAGGCGAGAGTACTGCAGGACTCTGGTGCTCGTGTTCTGGATCATCTTGGCTTGCTGGAGAATGAGCTTCGAGCTATTTTCTCATGACCAAATTGACTTTATTACCTATTTTATATCGACTCTTGGCTCAAAAACAAGCGTTCATCTTGGTATGTGTCTTACGTGTGTGAGTGATTGTTCCTGGGTATAATCCAGGGGTTGAGGGGATAAGGATGTCCAGGAGGTAAACCTTTGCGTAAAATGGTTGCGTATCGGCTTTACGAACGGTAATTCATCGTACCTTATTCGAAAACATTCTTCGTATGCATTTGGCATCTTGTGACAAGAAGACAGAGTAGACAACACCCCAAAGACTACGATTTCACCCGACTCCAAACCCGCTCGCTATTGTAAACAACTTGTCCAGGTTCGACTCAAGGGTTGTTCACTCTACATAGGTACCTAGGGGAGATCTCTCTCCAGTATAATACCCTATGATACCAAGCAATAAGCTATCAGTATCTATGCGCAGTGATGGCAGCGGATCTAGTGGCTTGCAACCGCGGATGGTGGTTCGTTTGTGCAGCAAATCGCCGAGGGCTCCGAGGCGAAATGGTAATAACAACATCAGTCAATCTCCCTCGCGTTTGGCTCGTAACTATGTAGCAACATAGGCGGTTGAGTAAGTAGGTAGGCTAGGTCTTAACTCCGCATCGACACCGAGACGTATTTCCTCGGCCTGGGTTTTGGATTGAGGATGATGCATCGCCGAGAAGAATTAAGCTATCCGGTTTCCTCCAGCTTATTATCCCTAGGTCAAGTAACAAAACCAAGCGATCTCAGGATTGTCTAAAGGAGAACAGCTTGGCCAGGATGTAAAGCATCATTGATGATTCTATGTAAAGAAAGAGATTGTAGTATCGGTAAAGATGTTTCATGACTGTTTCTTGCCGGAACCCTTCGCACAGCGCCCATGATGAATAATATGACTGCGCAGCCTTGTCGGCTCTTCGATCTATCACTACCTATCTATACAAAGCCTTCAGCTGTTCAAGGAACACCATAGTTAAAACTGTCTGTGGACCTAGTCGCATGAAGCTCGGTGTCCATCCCTTAAAAGCCCAGCTGAAGCCCTCTTGTCTCCAAGCTTGAGTCAAGACACTTCCAATGGAAGCGCGATTGGTCGAGGTCATTACCCGTGTCTTGATGACATCCACGGGAGAGCATACTGTGGTTGCCGTGAGTCCTGCCATGGTAGAAGCAATCAAATGAGTCCCTGTTCCATCCGTCATGCTGAGATGCTCAAGGCAGGCAGCTTTGAAGATGTCGTATGAGCCGATCTGGGAAGCTGTCATGAGTGCCGCACGACTAATGTTGGGCCCAAGACCCCTGAACATGCCAGAAAGACCTTCTTCTCTTGCAATTGAAGCCATGCCATGGAAAACGCTTGCATAGCCACGTCTTTGCGCAGGTGGTAAGGCGGCGTCTGTCTGCATGCGAAGATTGACGACATCCGCGGGATTCCCTGCGATACCGCCGAGGACGCCTGCGATTGCTGCATGGAAAATATACAGGCCCATTCTCGGTTTTGCGACGCTGCCATCCCCGTTGAAGGATGGCTGACTGTATCGGGCCTTGAGTTCCTCATACACTCCTAGACGAACGCTCGAATACGTAAGTTGTCGAAGAAGTACGGCACTAAGCCCCGAGTACACACCACGGGGCCCTTCGGCCGTCCATATCTGTCTCAAAGCAGATAACATGGAGGCCCTTGATCCAGCAGAGCTGTGCTGCAAGCGAGCCTTGACAAGATCGAGCGGGTGGGTGAACAGTGCTGCACCAGCAGCTGCTGCCCCCCCTAGCCAGAAAGGTTGTTTCGTGCGACTAGCTCTCGCCGACGTTGGTTCTTGTCTTGACTCGTGTTTGGGGAGCGCTTCAAAGGGCACGTTCTCTCTTGTCAAAGAGAGGGGAGGTTGTTGTTTTGGCTCGTTCATCATGAGCCGTAGCTTTCAAGACCTGATCAAGCAAAGATATCGCAGAAGCTCACGAATGTAACTAGGGCGGATGGTGACAATTTGTCGTAATCATCATGAGAACTTGAGAATAGAGAGTTCTCTGGTCTTTGGTATAAGATTTCAATCATGTTTCCAAGGTAATGGCCAGAGCGGGCTGTTGGAAATCGCCTCGGCGATTCGGAGCTCATTTTCTTAGGCCTAGTCTGAGGGCGACCCGCGTTGCTAGGATTGATGAATTCTGAAATGCTGTCTTGTGTTTTCAAGATATACTCTGCTTCTAAGTAGTATATGCCAGGTCCCTTGATACTTTGATACTGTCCTGCTGTCTGGGAAGGGGACTGAGGTGGAGAAGGGAAGTGTGAAAAGCTACACACTCATGTATGCACGGCCATCGCATGCATTGTTCAATAGCAGGGGTCCATAAGATTCAATGTACTTTAGGCGTCGTTCAAGTTCTGGCATACAAAGTAACACACTACAAATGCGGTTGTTCATGTCCAGCTCGGTGGGTAAGTAAGTATACAGTCACTATCGCACACATCTTCAAGCTGCTTGTACAGGTGAAACCAACATGGACATAGTCCTTTGTCTCATTTTACCATATGGCTACTTGTGCTGCGTTGTAGATGGTAAGACAATAGTTGATGGGCAATTGCCTTGCGTCACGTCGCTTGATCTTGTCAACTCGACTGCTCGACCCCTTTCCTCACAACCAGACCACTCTGATTCCTCAACTACCCCACTTGTCGCTAACCTTAGCAAATACTGTCAAAGATTTGAAGGCATAAACTATTCAGCAACCACCCAAACACTCTCAATGGTGGCATTGCAGTTAGCTCTGGGTTTTGCCACCGGATTTGCACCAAGTCATTCCCCTACTAAACGTCCGCTCTCCCTTTGGGCGATGGAAAACCATACTCAGCAGGTCGCCTCAGTTTCGAGGGTTGCCAGTCCAGGTGTTTGGTGTTGGTGTCCCCGTACCCATGTTTACTAGGCTACCGGCCTAGCCTGTTCGACTACACTTCCTCGGTGCTTGTCCGCTCGAGGAAGCACTGAGAACAGAGACGGACATTCCGACGCCCCATTTTGTCCATTGTTGCCAAAGTACAACCAAACAGCATTGCCAATCCCATTGCCATCCAATCAACGTGATAGCAGATGGACAATATCAAATGTCGTTTCATCTCTTCCACAGCTGACACCATCCACCGAGTTGCACCGTCCATCAACCCAATGACGTATTCGCTAGCCCAAATACTTAGGGACATCCGAGGCTTAGGCCCCCTCTCATCTAAGCTCTGTCGTTCCTATATTAAGCTCGTATGTAATTATTCACACACTGTTGTCTTGATAGAGCTCAGACTCCGAGATAAGTGCATTGAGGTCAATCTCGGTGAGGCTGCCGCCTAGAAAGGCCATGCTAAGTGCTGCACTTTATTTATGTGAAGGCGAAGAGGAAACCCAATGTTGAGTTTCAGATCTTATTTGGCTTCTTCTGAAGCCTCCGAAGGTCGAGGGTGGCTGGCGGCAGGCACAGCGTGGTTAGCTTGGGGCGTCTGGTGTGTTCCTTGGCCGCCATATCCTTTGCTATAGTTATTGCCGCCTCGGTGCTGCCCGCCATACTGGTGGCCCTGTTGTGGACTTGTGCCAAAGTGTTGAGGCACAGGGCTGCTATACCCGCCCCTCACTGCACTGGCGTTAGCCGCTTGTTAATCCTCTGCATGGTGATGGGTGTCAATATGACTTACTTGGACCGCCTTGCTGGCCTGGATTAAAAACAGGCTGGTTGTACTGCACATTGGGGCTCATTCCATACATGGGCTGGCCTTGTTGTGAGCCCTGATGCGCCATCATCGGCGCTGCGGGGCGACCAGGGCTGGGATAGCCATTAACACCAGGGACTGGCTGAGGTCCAGAAGGAGGCATAAATTGCGGGTGTCCTCCAGGATACATCATCTGCGGGCCAGGGACCATTCCTTGAGGTCCAGGTATAAACTGTTGCGGCATCATCATCGGGCCACCCATCTGACCCTGCTGAGGGCTCATGTATTGATGATTGTTAGAGAAATTGCGGAACTGATTCATCTGAGGCGTGCCGGGTCCCATAAAGACTGCCTGGTTGTACGGTACTTGCGGAGAGTTGTAGGCTACAGGAACGTTGCCGAGGCGGGGTGAAGCAAAAGACTGGGCTGAGTTTGAGTGCATCATACGATGATCGTCGTTTCCGTATGGCGGATGGGGAACATGACCATGCTGGGGTGTGTGCATCTGCATAGGAGGCATATGAGGCGAGCCCCTAGGAGCCATGTTCGCGCCCTGCTGGAGGTGGAATGGTAGTTGGTGCTGGTGTGGAATCTGAGGGACAACATGTTGGGGGTTCGGGGTAGCCAGCGCAGGACCGCCAAATGGCTGGCGTTCGAAGTATTCCTTGTAAGTCAAATGCATAGTAGACTCTGGCTTCTCATTGTCTTGGAGCTGCCGCCAGGTAGGTAGTGTATCGAAGGATGGGCGCAGGCCGGCGTTTTCGTCCCAGTTTCTCCCTTGAGGGGGCTTCAAGGTCTGGATATGAGACAGTATGTAGCATTTCTTCACATCAATGGCCTTTGTCTTACGGCGGATGAGCTGGCCATCGGAAACGCCACTGCTTGCTGAGGCGTCGACATTGTTAGCAGCAGATCGAGGACTCGAGGCTGCACTGGCGTGGCTATTGGGGTTGAAGGCAGCCGCGAACGGGCTGGGCCTAAATTCGTGGCTATTCGGGTTCAGCTTTGCACCCATATGGCTGGGGTTGCCGCTGAGGCGTCGGTTATAGCCAGCTTCGACACCGCTAGCTGGCCCTGTTGGAGGAGCACGGGTTTCCTGACTAGGAGTGTGTCCCTGATGGGCTGCAGGAGGCTGAGAGTATTTTTGTTGTTCAACATTGCGTAATCGCTGAGCCAGAGTGCCGGTTTGTTGTTGCGGAGGCACATGGGGACGGTTGTTTCGATACTGCTGCCCATGATAAGGCTGCTGAGCATACTGTTGGCGAGCACCAGGATGGCGAGGTTGTCCCCCGGCTGCAGGCGTAGGCTGAGCGCCGGCAGGACCACGGGCTGCTCGGGTATCACTGGGAGCAGGTGCACCAGCTGCGGCACCTTGACCAGACGTTTTAGCCTGGGATTCTTTTAATGGAGCAACCTTCTCCTTAGTCACGGCAGTAGCCTTGGCCTTGGCCACCTCTTCGGCATTTTTGATAGCCTTGGCCTGGATTTCTTGTTGCTTAAGGGGGTCCTTGGCTATGATGGACACTAAATCTGTAGGGACCGGGGTTGAGAGTTTGAAAGAGTTGGCAAACTTCTTTAACTCTGTCAGCTTGACCTCTTTGTCCTGCTTGGCTTTGTTGCTTCTGGCCTTCTCGGCGTTCTGTCGTTGCTGGCTAGCAAAAGTCTTGAATTCCTTCAACACATCATGTTCAACTGTGGAGGTAGCACTGGGAGTAGGAGCAGCCTGACTTCCAGGAGCTGGGGCAGCTTTGGCGGTGTCGGTTGACTTGGTCTCGGTCCCCTTTCCATTAGCAGGCTTTGAGTCATTGATCGAGGGCTCCGTGACCTTGACTTCTGTCGGAGCTTTTTGCGCATCGGTTTTCGGCATGGATCCATTCTTAATAGCGTCGGAGGAGTGAACTTTAGTCTCTTCGGGGGCTGGCGGAGCCTGTTTCTTGGGCGGTGCTTTGATCTGGGAAGAAATAATTGCAGGGTCAATAGGGGCACCTTTGACACTAGATTGAGCGGCGGGTGCCCGCTTGGCTGGTGGAGTGTACTTGTTCTCACGCCCAGCAGATAGAGGCGGGAAGTCTTGACGCCGAACACCGCTGTATCTGTAGGAGAATTATGATTAGCTACACGAATAAATGGTTGAGAAAGGGGTAGCTACTTGTCCTCTTCATCACCCCCATCATCTCCGCCGGCGTAGTCCATGACACGTTCCTCAGCCACGTGAGCAGTAGTGGGCGCGCTGCGTTCAATTTCGCGCGCCTTCCTGTCTGCTGCAGCTATCCTCTCTCTGTATTCTGGGTGGCTCTTGTCAATAGCGGTAGTGTAGAAGTTCTCATCGTAATTGGTTTTCAGTCCAAAGAGCCTCTCATTCTCGGCAAACTGATCCCAATTCCCGCTACCGCTAGACTTCTCAAGGCTGCCATTGAAGTTATCGTTCGAATCGGGGACCCAAGGTTGAAGAACCCGCTCGTTACCGAATCGATTTTTGGAGATGGCAGTATCGGTTCGGAATGCAGCCCGGCCTCCTATATAGCCCAGGATTAGATAGTTCTTGTTCGAAAGGACTACACAACAAACCATTCTGTTTGCCCCCAGACCCCCCACCAGCTATTCCATCCTTCTTCGGAACGGGCATGTTCGGGAACGCTCCAGTCGTTATGTAAATTCTTAAAAGAGAGTCAAGTTTAACAAAGCTCGGCCACCATTCAGGTAACCAGAAAGAAGCTCAAGTGACGATGTGGGGTGATTGTGGATATTTCGTTTGGGATCGCAGAAGGACGGGAAGCGACTTCGTGATTCTGAATAGACGCAGATGTTAGCCTTCCAAGCGCTATCAAGTCTCTCTGCTCAGGCGCAAATGGCAGGGAGAATTGAAACTCAGCAGTGTATCATTAGAGGCCAAGTCCTGATACCATGACGTGACGACAGTAGATTACACGAAGATCGTGGGGTTTGGGGATGCTCGATAAGGGGAAATACCAAATCGACTTGGTAGAGAAGAAAAGATGGGTATGATGCAACGACTTACTTTGCGATAGCTTGAGGAGATCAATGCAATAGTCGGGCGATACGATGACTACCTTATGGAGCTGGACTGAGTCTATTGGGCCAAGGCCAAAGCTACAGTAAAGTTGCGAAACGCTCACTTCTGACTCAATGCTGCAAAGGTTAGTAACTCTATGCATGCATTCATATGTAGAGCCGTTTCTGATCCACTGAATAGAATTCCGGCGAGGGTTGTGTGCTTGAGAGTCTAAAAAGATAGGTAGGGAGAGAGAGGAAAATAGCAGGGAGACCAAGCCAAGCAGTTGTGTGAGGAGAAGCGAAAAGGCGGCTCCAACGAAAACGCTGTCAAGAAAACGGGCGAAGAAAGTGAAAGACGAGGGGGTTCGAGTGGTTTTACCTCGCGGGGGTCTATAGAGACAGGGGGGGAGACCCAGATGCAATGATCTAGAGCGTCGTCCAGCTCGCGTGCCGTTAAAATTGCCTTGCAATGGGCAATAAGACCATGGAGCGGATGCGGAAAAGGAGGGTTTGAGTCGTGGTTGGAAGGGAGAGTCGAGACGATGAGCGACGAGGATTTGGTGGTAGTCGAATTGGTGGTTGAGGCTTGGGCACTGAACCTTTACTCCGAGAGGTACCTACGCCTACTTACCTTAGGGGACGGCACAGTACAGGACAGGACAACACAGTAAAGTGGAGGTCACAGCGGCAGTACCTCTGATGGCGGGAGGGTCGAAGGGTCTCCTCTGTTGCTCTTCTGCTGGACTACTAAGTTAGAGCCCTCTCTTTTAGTTTGTTCAGGGACACACAGCCGCGGAAAGGCTTTTCCCTCCCGGCACTGGGTCCCCTGCTTTATGTACCTCTAACTGTCGTGAGTGTCGTGCTTGGCCAGTGTCGTGTGTCTGAATGCCTGTAGGTAGAGTCGACAAATACTGTGGGTCCGCTCTCGAAAGTTGTGTCTTGTGAGTGGTTTCCCTAACCCAAGCTTTGACATCCATTGTCCATGGGTGTTTGAGAAGTATGATACCTAGGTACATCATGTCTTATAGTAATCGTCGAGTTCGACAATTGGGAACAAATTACAATATGCACAATCGCCTGCAGCTGCAATGAAATAACGACGTAGTCTAGATCTTACCCCCGGGTCCATTTTCTTTCCTCTACCTGAGGTAGCAGGTAGTCCAGTTGTGAATGTGCTTCTCCTACCCCCGGGGGGCATGAAAACAACGGAGCTTGATATGGGGTGTCAAAATAAGCTCAGTAAAAATTATCCTAAGCCCAGGCTATATCACCTAAATCATTTTGTCATTTAGGACCAAGGTCCTGAGTTTTCTTTCCTCCCCTAGCCTACGTAGTACAGACAGAGTACGTATGAAAGAAAGCTTACACGCTTGTTGCTATAAAAGTGGGCGTTGCCGGGGATGCAGTGGGGATACAGTACAGTGCGCATAACCGGCATGAGCTTGAATCTTCAGCGCTTGCAGTGACATTCAGCTTCTATTAAGGTACCTATCATCAGAAAACATGCAAAGCCCCAATGCATAGCCAAACACAAGGCGAGAGGGGCTGTATTGGTGTAGGCGCAGTGTTGGTGGTACAACTTGTGTACCCATGAATACGATGCTGACTGCAAGTTTGGGGCAACGACTGGTTTTCAAACGTATGAGTGGCTGTAACCTGACCGGTTCTGGCTTCGCCGAGTTATACGAATGTTTTCAACCATGGGATGTCTGGCAAGATCCCTGAGTTGAGTCTGGTATCTTTAGCATCGCTGTCCTTACGGGTTGACTGGAAAGGTTGTCATTGAGCCCTCACAACTTTTTACCAAAGCGCACGTCGGCAAAAGTAACCTTTTAAGATGCTACCTCTAATGCACTGCAGCAGATCAAACTCGATCTGCCTTTGCAGTAGATAAGCGTCGCCAAGCTCATGTAACATAAAATTGATGGTGGAGAACAAAGGGGCCTAGAATGGATCAAAGGATTTCTACTACAAATATTCACAAAGAGGTCAGCCTCTCCCACATGACTTCTAAACTGTTGGTACAAGTTCTTTTCTCTCTTGGACCTCCATTTATACTCGCAGACCAATCTCCTCAGCATAGGGCAGCACGAACAGATCACCGACAGTTGAAACGGTGGCCTTGCCCTCAATGAGAGTCTTGGCAGCCTATAAATAAAAGTATTAGTCTTACAGAAACATTTAACAAAAGTCGGGGTAAGTCCTTACAGTTTTAATGGATTCGGCGGAGACACCATCGATAGCCTTGGCAATGGCAGCAGAGTCGTAAGGCTTGCCGCTATTGACGATACCAGAGCCAGCGAGGGCGATACTGGGTTGGCGGAGCTGGTTCTGGCTCAGAAGGTTAAACTTGGCGTAGGCAACGGCCTTCTTGACATCCTCCTGGCTCGCTTGGCCATCTGCTATGCTCTTGAGCACCTTGACAGTCTCCTCAGCGCCCTTACGGACAGAGGCAGCAGGACCACTGAGCTGAACAGCAAGGAGGCCAGCATCGGAATAGGTTAGGTTGGAGGTGTTGACAGTAAGACCGGAGGTGCCAGCAGTGGCCTTGGCCAGGAGGCTAAAGCCAGGCGCCCACTTGATGGTGGACTGACCACCGAGGAGAGCAGCCAGCACAGCGTGCTCAGGCTTGGTGGAGTCGTAACCGGAGCCGGGGAAAGCAATAACAATAGAATTGCCAGCACTGGAGCTTGTTCGCTGCTCACCACCAAAGTACTTGGTTGCGTCCGTCTTAAGAGTTTGGCCACTTCGAGGGGCAGAAGGCACATCCTTGAAGAACTGGCCAACCCACTTGGAGAGAGAATCGGGAGAAGCACCGTCGGCAATGAGAGCAATGTTGGGCTTGGCGTAAGCGACGTCGGCGTAGCTAGCAATGTACTCCTCGTTCAAGTACTTCTGGTAAGGAGTTGAGGAGCTGGGGAGGAGGGAGGAGCCGAGGCCATTGTGGAAAGCGATAGCGTGGGCGTTGTCGAGAGCAGTGGCGGCGACGTCGGCGTTGAGGGCAGCCTGCTTGGCGTGGAGAACACGCTCAACATCCTCGTGGAACTCGTGAGCTGGCAATCCTCATTAGTATGGCCCAGATATGTATGTAGTGTAGGGTTGAATGTTTACTCACTGGTATACTTGGTCAGGGAGATGACCTCAGCGAGAAGCTCAGTGAAGTAAGGCAGATCCTCGCGGAGAAAGCTGGCTTCGACAACAACAGCCTCCCTGGAGTGAGAGGAAGCCAATTGACCACCAAGAAGCTCAGACTCGCGAGTAATGCGAAGACCGGATCGTCGCTGGGTGTTCTGCACAGAGCCAGCAAATTAGCTCAAGTCCTTGATTTCCACTCGATGCTCTCGTCTCTCACCTTGAAGGCAAATTCGGCAAGGCCAACAGAAAGGCCAGGAAGAGGTTGGTAGCGAGTACCGGCTTTGGCCACAACAGCGAGCGTAGTAGTAGGACCGTGAGCATCCCGCGAGGCGACCTTGAGGCCAGTCACATCCGAGGTCTCGTATGATCCGGTCGAAGCAGCGGCGGCGTAGGTTCGTCGCTGGACGCGGCAGGCTTGTCGGGCAGCCTGCTGCGCAGTTCGCGCAAGGGACGATCTCGAGATCATATTCGCGGGTGATGGCGTAGGCAATTGGCGATCCTTCGGCCGTCTGGGTGAAGCAATTGATCTCCAAGAGAAGTGCCTCGTCGAAAAGGTCCCGTCTAATTTTCGGGCTACGGGGACGAGAGAAAATGTCACGTGATTATCCCCGGTCAGCCAGATTTCCATCCGCGGCATTGGCTCATCAGTACGACTTCAGCGATATTTGAACTGGCTTTGGCGCTAGGGACAGAATGAATAGTGCTAACCTAGCATTGAACTTTTGAACCCCACCTATTGTGAGGTCAGGCCTACCAGCAGCTGACTTACATCAATCAGAGGTTGCAGGCAAAAATTGGCTTAACGATCCATTAGCATTTGCGCCGGAGAAAAAAAAAAAGCATCCCAGCCTTCTTGCTCTCTTGTCTTCTTTTTCACCCTTTGAACCTTACAGCTAGCATTGCTGATCACGAAAATCTCGATTCATTGTTTCGCAGGCCCTCGATTCTTCTTTTATGGGTTTTGTCAATCAATGACGTCCCGGTAGCAAGTGTGGAAGCTCTAGAGATAGTGAGAGGATCTCTAGGAGCAAGCAATGCTCGTTGTGAGTCGAAGCAGCTCGACAACCGTTTAAGATATACCAGCTGACAGCCCTTTCACGGCAGACAAAACACGCCGCTGAGCTTTGTGCTCTCCTAGTTAATGATCTCCATGGCGAACTTCCTTCGGTACGTGATGTTTTATGTTGTATTTGTCTGGATACAAGTGAGCTTGTGGGGCTGACATTGCTCCTCGCAAACAGCGAATCTTGAATGCACTACTCACAAAAGGCCGGTCGACCATTGCGCAACTGGCCCAACACACGTCTCTCACGCCGCGATACTTACGGAATGGCATCGCTGTCCTGATACAGCAAAACCTTCTTTACCACCACACAGACGCTAATACCGACGTCACGTACTACCAAGCCGATGCTGATGCCTGTTACAACCTTGTACGAGCAGGGAAGATCCTAAACGTGATTGAGAATCAGTATGGCATCGCCGAGCGGGAACTCGCCCAGACTCTGATGCAACTGGGTCATGCCCGAATCGCGGATCTTTCTCAGGCTTTCGGGTCGAGGGCGCCCAAGCTCAATGGACATACCAATGGTGAACATAAAACCCACGATGGCCTCATCGAATCAGAAAGCCACCTGAACTCTGTCCTTGTTCGCCTGATTCGAGCAGAAATAGTCGAGACTGTTCGGCCCGAAAGCTTCCGGAACCCCAGGGATGTCTATCGTGAGATCGAAGACGAAGTCACCAAGCCTCGACCAGGCGAAAAGGTTACCAAAGGAAAGATCGAGGCTCAACGCGAGGTCATTGAACGCTCTAGAACATACAGAGACCAGCCCAAGACTTTGAAGCGTCAGCTTGACATGAGCGGAGGTCCCAAGCCAAAGAGACGGAAACTTGTTAATGGAGCAACGCAAAATGGTCATGCATACGATGCTCCAAAACTGAACGTAAGAACGCCCAATTATTTACGATTTGATTTCCACGACTGACATTCGACAGCCCAATGTGGTGGTCAAGATAAACTATGAAAGATGTTTGGTTGAGCTGCGGAACCAGAGACTTGCAGAACTCGCGACAGAAATGCTTGGGGAAGTCACTGGTGAAGTTTACCGCACAGTGCTCGATCTTTTAACTTCAGATTCTCCGAGATGCCAGTCTGACCCCCTGCTCGATGAAGTCACTCCTGGGCAACAACCAACTGTGACAACTATCGACATATTTGAGCACTTGGACGAAAATATCAACGTCCAAAATGGGATTGGCAAAACTCCGAGAGATAAAATTGACTCACAGAGTGCTGAACGTATCAGGGAAACAGCGCCGGAGTCAGATGACGATTCGGACGATTCAGATGCCGGTCCTCCCGGTCGAAGAAAGACGTTTGACGTTGACGATGAAGTTGATGAATGGGCTGAGGACAACCATGATGGTACAGCTAATGGGGAACAAGAAAACAGAGTAAGATTTGAAGATGCTACGAATGGAAACGATACTCGAATCTCCCAGATGCGCCGTCATCTTCTTCTTCTCGCAGAAAGCAAGTATCCGTTCATCCGTCACACTGGGATGTACGGCCGCGGGCAATGGACAGTGGACTTTGGTCGCCTCGTAAGCAAGCTGCGGGAAATCGAACTGGACGCTATTATTGAACAATCCCACGGCCGCCATGGTCTACGCTTGACCCGCATTCTCCGAGAGAAGGGCAAGCTTGACGAGAAGATGCTTCCAGCCGCCGCACTGATGAAGAAGGGTGACGTGCAAGGCAAAATGCTTGCGATGCAGATGGCCGGTATAGTGGATGTTCAAGAAGTACCCAAGGACAGCAGCCGGCTTGCCAATCGAACGCTCTTCTTCTGGTACTTTGACAAAGAGCGAACCCAAACGCAGGCACTGGACGACATTTACAAGGCTATGCTCCGGTGCCTTCAAACCCTAGAGGTGGAGCGCCACAAGGAACGGAACATTCTTTCGTTTGTTGAGAGGAAGGACGTGCAAGGCAAAGAAGAGGAGGTCATGACCACAGAGCATTACAACAAATATAACAGGCATCTGGGAGTGCAGGACAAGCTTCTGGGTCAAGTCATGAGGTTAGATGAGTTGGTATCTGTGCTTCGTGATTATTGAGGAGTAGGAGACGCTAAGGCATATATGTATTCCTCCTAGCTCAAACCTCGCTTGGAATTGGCGGTTGGCGTGGGTATTAGGAACTGACATTGGGTAGGGGTTTGGCCTCATATCATCATCTTTGCATCCATATTTTAAACAGCAAATAACAAAAATAACGCATTAAATTGCCTTTTTTTGACATGTTTCTCGCCTTTGCTTCATGGCTACTTGATCGTATGATTTGATTTTGGTAAGGTAGGACTCGGTGTTGCGGGCGTGACGGCCATTAGCAAGCATGCATGTCCATATGGTCAGTCAGATATAGCTAACCTCAAGACTGGCCTGTCTACCTGGTACTGCGTATTTTGCTGACGGGGAAACTTCATATCAGTTTTTACATTACAAGAAGGCCCGTACTTCAATTCCACTATCACATTGCCTCAGGAGAGTCATTTGTTACTTCGAGGCTATGACTTGGAGGCTCGAATAAGGAGCTCTCGGCCCCCGGGAATCATAGTATTCGGCTATCATGGCATTCCTTCCGCGATGAGTGTGAACCTTGTCAAGTGTTCCTGGTTCGTCAGATGAAGACGGTTATAAAGGAACTATCGCGGCTATAGGGTACCGTGATTACTTGTTAGTGGCTTGTACAATAATAAAGTGTGGCTCGTGCTTGGCCGCTGTTGAGAGTCGAGATTCAAGAGTGGAGCCTCCCTCAACACACACCAGAGAAAAAAAAAATCCAATGAAACGATAAGGTAGGTAGCTAATAAGAGCTCCTCGATTCTCCGACGTCGGTACATAACCGCAAACACGCCAGGGTGATTTAGCAGGGGCCAGGGGATTCCCAGGAACTAAAAAAGATAAGTGCATTGGGCGACAGGAAAAATTTCCCAAACAGCCAGCTCTTGAGTCTTATACCGGAACTCTTGCTCTTTGCTCTCGCGACAAGCTCACGATTCTGTTTTTCAAACTTCGTGAAACCTCTTGAGGACGACCGTCAAAGCAGTATCTTAATCTGATTTAAATTACTCTTTCTCATCAAGATGTCTCCCCCCGTCGCTGCTGGTAGCGAGAAGGAGTCCGGCCTGGCTCGTGTCCTTGGCTCCGGTACGTTTCACTCCAATTGAAACAGGTGACCGTGCTATTGCTTTACGGTTTCCTGCAATCGACATATATATCTCTAGTTCGAGCTGACAACATCTTGACAGGTTCCGCTGGTATTGCTGAGCTGGCCGTCTTCCATCCTGTACGGAACCCCACCTCATTTGAGCACAAGCAGTTGCGACAAATCTTGGAGCTGTTCACTAACCCCTCCACAAGGTCGACACCATTGCGAAGCGATTGATGAGCAACCAGACTCGTGTAAGCAACCTACCTCTCTTAGTGCATGCCATTGGACAGGATATTGACAGTTTGCGCTTATAGATTTCCAACGCCAGCGAGTTGAACAAGGTTATCTTCAAGGACAAGGCCACCGCTCCCTTCGGACGAAAATTCGTTTCTCTCTTCCCCGGTCTGGGATACGCCGCCGGTTACAAGGTCCTCCAGCGTGTGTACAAGTATGGTGGCCAGCCTGTTGCCCGCGATTACCTCTCGAAGCACTATGGAGCAGACTTTGAGAACGCCTTCGGCAAAAAGACCGGAAAAGCCATCATGCACTCTACTGCTGGAAGGTAGGACATGAAGACCTCTGTTTCTCGAGAAACTTGAACTAATGCGCCCCACAGTTTGATCGGTATTGGTGAGATTGTTCTCCTACCTCTTGACGTCCTCAAGATCAAGCGCCAGACAAACCCCGAGGCTTTCCGTGGCCGTGGTGTCCTCAAGATCGTTGCCGATGAGGGTTTCGGCCTGTACCGTGGTTGGGGCTGGACTGCTGCTCGTAACGCCCCTGGATCTTTCGCTGTACGTGTGCCTTTCAGCTTCTTCAGTTGATTTGGAAAACTAACTTGGTGTAGCTATTTGGTGGATCTGCTTTTGCCAAGGAGTATATTTTCCATCTTGAGGATTACAACAAGGCCAGCTGGTTCCAGAACTTTATTGCTTCTATTGCTGGCGCTTCCGCTTCTCTCGTTGTCTCTGCTCCCCTTGACGTTATCAAGACCCGTATCCAGAACCGAAACTTCGACAACCCTGAGAGTGGCTTCCGAATTCTGTCCAACATGGCCAAGAATGAAGGTCCTGGAGCTTTCTTCAAGGGACTTGTCCCCAAGGTACGTTCACCAGCATAGAAAGTGATAGCCGTCTTTCTGCGGCCCGCCAGCTCCCGATCAACTCCCGTCCCCACCCTAGAACTTCTAGACGCTAACTTATACCGCCTTGCAGCTGCTCATGACTGGTCCCAAGTTGGTCTTCTCT